GGGTGGGGGCGGGGGGGTGAGGAGGAGATAAGAGAGATTCAGAGGGTAAGTTTTCCGGGTGAAGATTTGAGGATTGTTAAGTAGAGGGCAGGAAGCAATTTTAAAGGATACGCAGTTTCAGCTCCTAACCCAGGGGAATGAGGGTGATCTCATGAGGTCAGTTTTGGCTGCAACTCAGGTCTTCTAGCCCTCAGTCCCGTGCCCTTTGGCCTCCTGGCGCTGCCAGCGACGATGCCCGTGGGAGTGCCTCCTAAATCACCAGGAAACGCGGCTGCCCCGCCCGCAACGGAACTTGGAGCCTTGAACCCCACCCCTCTGGTGTTGGCAGCGACTGCAGTGCGCAATACTTGGCGCCAGAGGGCGCTCCGACACCTGCTGAGGCCGCTCTGGCCCAGTACGTCTCAGTGGCCGCGGAAGGTGACGTGGACACGGAAGTGGTCGTCGTCGCGGCTGCACCGGTGGAAGCTGGGCGCGATCCGAGTGCGGCCGGCTGACGGAGGGGTGGTGGCGGCCTCTCACCTGCGGCGGCGGAGGACGAAAGTGTTGTTGGTTGGGTGCGAGTCTGCTGAGCCCACGAGCGGCTTCTCAGGCCTTCTCCTGCCCGTCGGAGCCCCAGAACTGGGACTTGCTTAGCCGGCGTCACCATGACCAAGGCCGGTAACAAGGGCGGGAACCTCCGCGACAAGCTGGACGGCAACGAGCTAGATCTGAGCCTCAGCGACCTGAATGAGGTCCCGGTCAAAGAGCTGGTCAGTATAGTCCCGCGAGGCCCGGGCGCCCGCCAGCGACTGGCGCTAGCCCTTGCATGGGCCGCCTCGTTTCTCATACCTCAGTTTCTACGTGTTAAAATAAGGTGGGGAGCGTGGGATTAAGTCCCTTGGGAGGCTGCGTCCGGCCCCAGTGTTCTTCCTGGGATGTACACGTGTCATTTTGGCACAGTTCCAGAAGATGGAGGGTGGAGGAGGGAACTGCTTGTCTGGCCATGGGGTTTTTTACGGGTCAAGAGTGAAGCTCTCCACCCTCTATCTAGGGGGGCTTTCACAGCGCTCAGCTGAGTGCCCGACCCCAAGTAGGTACCCACGGAGCGGTTGCTGGATGTTTCGGAGAATGAATGAACAAATGAATGACTGACTAGGTCTGAGAAGCAGGCCTCCGTGTAGACCGGGGTGTGGCCCAGAACCGGGGTTTCCTAGGAAGCCGGCTGACCTTTCCATCCCTGGGGCGTCGTTCCTTGAAGAAGATGAAGTCGTAACTGCTTGGTTGGCAAGGCCTCTTGCCTACTGGTCTGAAACTGGCGGGAATCCAGCGCCACAGAGGCCCACCCTTCCAAGCCCTCTACCCCCACACTCCCACCCTGGAAACTGAGGCCTGGGGCCCCTGGGAGATTACACAACCAGTTGTTGCCAAAGTGGAGCAAGATCGCACATCCTTGCTTTTCCCACCTGGCTCCCCACCCAGGCCTTCACAACCTGGCACTGGCCTCACTTTGGATGACGTACACTTTCCTCTCTGCTTTTGGCACTGGGCCCAGTCTTCCCTCCTCCTTGGTTGTGTAGTATGGAGGTTAGCAAGGGATTCCCAGTTCATATGTCAGCTCCATTGCTTCATAGCTGAGTGCCCTTGGCAAGCTAGCTAACCTTTATGCCTAGTTTTCCTCATTTATGAAATGGTGAGTGATAATACTTCCCATCTCATAGGGTTGTGAGGATTCAATAAGATTGTAATGTGAAATACTTGGCAGGGAGCAAATGCTGATGCATGTAGCTATTATGTTGGCATTCTTCCCACTGTAATATCTAAAACTTTTTTAGGTGGTCAGGCTTCATTCTTGGGAATTTCTGACAATTGGCAACTGTAAGCTGGCCCTGGGTCCTTAACTGAATATTTGGCTTTTTCCCCACCCCAGAAAGATGGCCAGCCTTGTTTCCACCCAGCTTTAGGACTGCTGTCTGAAACTGTTTACTCCAGGCATCTGGTCAGCACAGCACTGCCCAGATGCTGAAGAAAGAAGGGTCAGTTTTGCTGAGCCTCTCCAGGCCTGAATCCAGGGGGCAATGGAGCTGGGCCGTGAGGATCTTGTTTTCACTCTGATATTCACTTATTTACTCCTTCATGAATGAATGAATCTGCAAACATCTATATAGACTGCCTGGAAAGCCTGAACTGGGGAATATGGAAATCGCAGAGCTTTGTTAGACACAGTCCCTGCCTTAAAACCTAAAACAGAGGGGTACTGGAGAAAACATTAGAAGGCAGACTTTCTAAGAATCTCTTTTCCTTACTTGGATGTTCCACAGCCAAACCCCTACTTTTTGCATTCTTCCCTAGGTTGGGTTGACTGGTTCATTTTTTCTTCTCTTATCCCAGGAACAGTATACTTTAGTGCTTTTTTTTTTTTTAAGTCTTTTCCTAATCATGGAAGCTAGAAAATGCTTCCTTAGCAGATGTCACTAAATCAGTGCACGTGTTGGTTTGACATTTTGTTCTCATTCTCTTTCTAGGCTGCCCTCCCAAAAGCCACCATACTGGATCTGTCCTGCAATAAACTGACTACTCTCCCGGTAAGACTGGCAAGCAAGCATGATTCCTTCTAGAGCCCTGATGCTGCTGCTTCCTGCTTGGGGGAGCTGTGTTATAAGGCATACTTTCAGGATAGGCCTGCAAGCAGACTTCAGCTAAATCTGAGTGTGTTGGGGGTGGAGTGGGTTGATTTGTCTCAGTGGGGTGGGATGCCAGATAGGGTCCTCGTTCTTTAAAACAGTGGGAAAACCAGGCCACAGAAAACTCAAGTCAATAGGATGCTGGCTGAGTCGCTAACTGGACTCATCTTTTTTTCTGCCTTATTTTATTACTTTGGAAAATAGTACCTCTCTATTGCATAGAAGAGGCTGGAAACCTTTGGAAATTGCTCTCTTTTCAGGGAGAAGCTGTTTATAAACCTCCCTGTGCATCGTTTGATGGGGAACAGGAAAAAGTGTGGTTTTATAGGACTATTGTATCATTATCCTCCTAATCTTTAATTACTTGAGATACTTTTTTGTTCAGCACATCCAATTGGTCAAATCCTTCTGATTTTTCTTGCACAACTTCTCCCAATCCCCCTGTTGCTTCAGCTGTGTAGGTGCTGGTGTCATTCAGCCCCCTCGTACTCCCCTGGGTAATGGCTGCGCTCTCCTCCAGAGCAATGCTCCTTCATTGTCAGGCCTAAGTTTGTTGTCATTATTGCCTTTCCTGTCCATTACCCTGGCCAGGTCACGCCTTGCCATTCTTTGTTAGGCTCTGGCATAGGGATTGAGTCTCAGAAGTTGGCAGTTTCTTCGCAGGATCATTAGTCCATTCCCCTCTCAGTATTCCCCTGGGCCTCATTCATTGTAGCATCTTCTGCAGCTCATCAGGAACCATTTCTAACGCTGAAAAAAGCATCTGAGATCCCACTTTTTCTAGGAAGTATTTTGTGTCTAATTAAAGGGCAGCAATTCCTTGCAGCCTGACACCTGCTGTATACTTTGTCAGACAGTCACTCAGCACCCCCAAGTGCACTTTTCAGTCTGTTCGTTCAGTTGTTTTGACTTCCTCTGCAGTGCAGATCCACTGGCATTTACAAGCCCCCGAGAACACAGATAGTGCTTCATTAGCTGAGGTTGGGGCATCACTTCAGAGGGGTGCTGAGCAAAGACTTAATGACAAGAGTGATGTTTTGAACTGTGCTGTAGAAGAGCCAGGATATGGGTAGGGTGGGCCCCAACCCATTCAGTCAGTCATTCAGAGAACGCTCATGGAGTACCTGTGCTAAGTACTACTGTGCTAGGTGCTGCAAAGAACAAAGAAGAATAACACTGGATACTCAAGGGACACTTGATCTTAGGGAAATGGATGGTCTCACTATGTTTTGACAGCTCCTATGAAAGGTGAACATAGGATGCTGTGGAAGGACAGAATGGGTCCCTCACCACTCCAATAGCAATGTGGAGGATGGGTTGGAGGGAGAACTGAGGGTGAAGGAATGCACACTTATTTTGTGCCTATTTTGTGCTCAGCCCTTTGCATACACATCTCACTGCTTAACCATCAGGAGTGATGCTTGTTATGTCCATTTTCATTCGAGGTGGAATTGCTGGTAAGAAGTAGAATCAGGATTTACACATAGGTGCCTCTGACTTGGGGGCTCCTGGACTGTTCCATCAAAATGTCAGCCTGAGGCTTAGGTGTTTTCTCTTTGGGTCCTAGTCGGAGTTCTGTGGCCTCACACACCTGGTGAGGCTGGACCTCAGTAAGAACAAACTGCAGCAATTGCCGGCTGACTTTGGCCGTCTGGTCAACCTCCAGCACCTGGATCTCCTCAACAACAAGCTGGTCACCCTGCCTGTCAGCTTTGCTCAGCTCAAGGTAATAATTCACGAACTAATGTTTCATGGCCAGGTGTAGCAGAGGGCTCAGGCTCCAAGGGACCATGGCTTTGAGAAAGGCTGACTGAAATATGATCTCGTTGGCTTTCCCCGCAGCTGGGACACAGGGGCTCTTTCTGCTCATTTTGTTCCACTTTGAGGGACTCTGTGTGTGAACTTGGAGTTAGTCAGCTTCTCTGCTCCATCTCTTTAGAGCTTGAAGTGGCTGGACCTGAAGGATAACCCCCTGGATCCCGTCCTGGCCAAAGTGGCAGGGGATTGCTTGGATGAGAAGCAGTGTAAGCAGTGCGCCAACAAGGTAAGCACGGAGCTCCCCAAGGTCTCATTCACACACTCTCCTGGGACTTGCCTCTGCCTCGTCTTGTTTTCCCTCTCAGCACCTATAGCTGTGTGCTGATTAAAGCACTAAGGTCTCAGTGACATGGGTCTACCATGAGCTTGGCACGCAAAGGGACTTTTGTTTCTGTATTTACTTTACAAGTAGTGGAATAATACTATCTTTACTCTACTGCAGGACTTCTGTTCTTAAGAAACCAGAACCTTTCATGATCCAACATTTTACTGTCAGTTGTTGTTTGAATGGGACAAGAGGGTTTGGGGCTGTGGCCTTTCTGAGTCACCACAGTTATTATAGGAATTTTGATAATAGAGGTGTTGTTAATATTTGTGAGTTTATAGATGTAAACAGACAACATCCTTTGCAGATCTGGTATTTGACTTGTCAAGTCATCTTACATAGTGAGAAAATAAAGTCTGCACAGAAGGCAAACATTGCCAATAACCCCGAAGATGCCTTACACTGCTCTTAAGTAAAGCACTGTACCCATTCTCAAAAATTCCAACTATAGTCATTTTTCCCCCACGTCTAGCTTTAGAACAGATTACTGCTGTTTCAGCTGAACACCAGATGACTTACTTGGCTATGTTTAGGGGGCTTGGTGGACAAAAAGGACTTAACTTTAAATGCTAGAATTCATTTAAGTGAAATGTGTGTATAATGGGCTTCTATATGAATCTCAAGAGTAATGGCCTTATTATTAGCTGAGGGCTTCTTAGATAGTCTTATCACCTGTGTCATCCATTGTTATGAGAATCCAAGAACAAAGTCAAGGCAACTAAGTAACCAAGGCTACAGTTTGCCCTTAGCTGAGAACAGTACAGTTGATCAGTGAAACCCTGTTTTGAAAACTTGGTGCTTTAGGAGTCATGTCTGTTCCGGAAGACCAACAGTAGCTACCACTGACTGCTCTCCCTTTGTCCTACATGCTTTACATGTTTCATCTCATAATCCTCATAACGCTGGGAAGTAGGTATTACTTCATATCTCTGACATGAGAAACCCTCATTGTGCACACGCCTTTCATTTGTCTATTTATTCATTCAGCAAGTAATATGTTGAACCATATGGAATTGCTGATATTCTGTTTTTGACCTATCAAAATAATTTTTATTGCATGTAAAGGTCTTTAGTACTCAGATATATCTTCTAGACAAAGCATTGTGGGTGTGGTAACAAAAGCCATGCTCCCTGGTGTCGCTGCCCCAGAGCTGTCCCCTGCAGCGTACCTTTAGGCATTATAGGGGAGTGGCGGGGACAGAATGAGGTCACTTGTCTCCAGGAGTTATTTTAGGTCTCACAAGCTCTGACCTTGTGGGTGCATGGGTTCGTCATAGTAACTGATCACCCTGGTACATAGTAAAGCACCTTTTAAAAATGTTCAGTAGTATTCATCAAGTGCTTACTGTATGCTGTGGGCTGGGATTAGCTGACGAAACTCCACCTTCCAGGGGTTCACAGTCTTGACTAGAGGAGTCCCTTTTCTGAACTTGCTGTGTTTTCAGATGATTAACTCCTGATGTATTGTGGCCAAGGTAAAAAGGGACATCTCTTAAACCTCCCAGCTCTTTATCTAGCCAGCTGTACACACCCTAAAACCAACTGAATGGTCGGTGCTTATTTAAAATTCAGAGTTCAGAGTGACACAGGGACTTTGAACTTGGGCTGCCTGTCTCCATCATGCTTGACCTTCCTCCAGATCCTGCAACTCCTTGTTGAGCAGTAATTTTTTTAGGAAGCTTGACTCCCTCTGGAGAGGTGCCAGCAGGTTCAACTCCTGGATTACTCAGGACAGGGTCCCTTTTGGCTTCAAACCAAGCTCTTAGAGGGAGCTGCTTTTGCAGGCCTGCTGCTGAGCTCCTCCCATCAAGAGTGTGTGCATGTCTGAAGTTTCCATGAAGTAAAATATTGGGTTGTTGGAAAAGTCATGACGTATTTTTGCAACAAAAAAACATAGAAAAAATACGTCATGACTTTTCCAACAACCTAATTACATTTGAATACACATCTGTCCTGAAGGGTGTCTAGTGTGGTAAAGAAACAGACAATTTGCTGTCATAATTTAGAGTAGTTTGGGTTTTCCTGTCTTGTTAATGGAGTAAAAAAGCAGCAGTATTTATTGAGCACATACAATGCCAGGGATTATGTTAGGCAGCCTGTACAAGTTATGTAATTTAATCTTTGCAACAGGCCAGAGAAGTCATCTCCATTTTCCAGATGAAAAAATCGGCCCAGAAAGGTTAAGTCACTTGCTAAGATCACACTGTTAGCAAGTAAGTGGTAGAGTCAGGATTGTTGGGCTCCAAGCTATACTCTGTCGTCTACATCCAAGGAGTACCAGCTTCTGAAAAATACAAACAAATCTACCTCCTCCCCTAACCATGCCCACAGTGAGAATCTCTGTGGCTGTTTTAGTCAGAGGTCAACCATTACTGGGTTGACGAGGATTCGAGGGGCTCAGGGTACCAGTGCATCATGTGGTGTTTGGGCAGAATGACGCCTTGCTTTTCCCCCTGAGCTCTCCAGCCCCTGCATGAGGAGTGAGTGGAGCCAGCTCTGGTCTGGGAACCCCAAAGACCTGCACTCCTAGCTGTGCTGCTTTCTAGCCCTGTGACGTGGACAAGTCACCTGATCAGAGTCTAAGTTTTCTTCCTTTTGAAATGGAATCCAGTCCATTGTTCATCAAACGTGTATTGAGTGTCTATAATTAGCTAAGCTCTGTGCTTGGCCTACAGACAGGACAATAGTCCCTACCTTTAGGAACTCATAGTCTTATAACTCAGCTGTATAAAAAAAGCTCTCTAGGATGGGAGGAGGGGAACCTGAGGCAGCCAAAAGAGATGAGGTCAGGAAAATGTCTTGGAGGAAGTGCTATTCCTACTCATCAGACTTGCTGGGAGAATTATATATGAAATCATGCACGTGGAGCGACTGTAAATGGCAGGATTTTTGCACACTCCAGTTGGCATTGTGTTCACACACTTTTTTCCTGACAGCTTTAGTGAACTGGGCTCACATGACTCTTCTGTAACTGAGCTTCAGCACTAAGTTAGGATCCAAAGAGGATTAACTCCATAGCTCTGCACTGCTTCCCGGGCCGGTGGTGATCTGGGATCCTGAGAAGAGCAGTCTCTTGAGACTCCCCTGAGCAAATGTGTAGCCGTGAAGACTACTGTGTGGAGTGGTTCAGCGCCCTGTCTTCCTTTGCAGGTGTTACAGCACATGAAGGCCGTGCAGGCGGATCAGGAGCGAGAGAAGCAGCGGCGGGTGGAAGTAGAACGAGGTAGGTGGCCATCCCTCTAGCCATCTTCTGGCCCTTCCTTATCCCGCAGCCGGTTCTCATGCTTCAGGAGCTGGAATCCCGTAGAGGAGCTGTGAAGAGCAGTGGGGAACAGTGTGGTAGTAGAAGGTATCACCTTTGTCTGACGAGTCTCTCTCCAGTCCTGGCTTCTCCACCGAGTTCCAGAGTTGAGTTCCATTGCTTGTCTTCCTATCTCTTTGGAGGGTTAATAGGCATCTCAAATTAAACATGGCTAAAACAGATTCCTTCAGCCCCTCCCAGTGTTCCTCATAAAAGGAGATCACTGTCTCTGCAGTCATTCAAGCCGGAAACTGGGAAGCTGTCCATGAGCCCTTTCTTCTGTTACACCTATGTCCAGTCTGCCAGCACATCCTGTATGGGACTTTGTCTCCCACCAGTGCCACCAGTGTAATCAAGCCTCCATTCCGTGGACTGCCACGGCACCTCCTGACACGATGCCCTGTCTCCATACGTGTGCCCTCTGTAGTCATTCTCTACACAGCAGCATAGAGATCTTTTTTTTTTTTTTAAGATTTTTATTGGGGAATTGGGGGGATGGGAACAGCGCTGGGGAATTGGGGGAAGGGGAACAGACAAGTTGCTGTCGTTTTGTTCTTCAGTCTAGTTGTGGAGGACGTTGCTTCACTGGCCCAAGTTGGCACCATCATTGCGCTCTTCCCGGGCGAGGCACATCAGTCGCCGGCTTCTGGACGGCCGCTCACTGCGGCTGCTAGCTGCTGGCTACACATAGTAGCCCATGGCAACCCACTGCCACAGGGGCTGCAGCCTATGCCGTCGCCAGCGACTCACGGCAGCCCAGTTCTTGAGCTGTTGTTCAGCATCTTAGCTGTAGAGGGCAGTGTCACTGGCCCTCATATGTGGGATCCGAACCGGGGCCCTCTGGCTTCCCAAGCCAGTTCTTAACCATCGCACCACTCGGCCGGCCCTAGAGATCTTTTAAAAACATAAATCAACCATGCTGCTATTTGCTTACAACTCTCTAATGCTTCCAGTTGAACTTAGAATGAAAATCAAACTCAGTGACTTGGTTGACAAGGCCTGCTGTGGCCCAAGCCTGCATGCTACTCGGGCTTTGTTGCACATACAGGCAGAGGGTGAAGTTCACTTCAGCCACAGGAGCCTCTGCTGTGGCTTGAACACACAAAGCGCAGTCTCACCTTTGGCGCTTTGCTTGGCTTCCTTTCCTCTCAGATTTTTCTGTGACTGGCTTCATATAATCCCTGACATCTTTGTTGAAATGTCGCCTTAGGTTAACCATAATCCTTTCAGAACCAGCCAAACCAGAATAGCCATCCCACTGGTCATTCTCCATCACATCCTGTTATTTCCTTATGGCACACATCACTGTCTCTTTTGCTGTTTGTTCACTGGTTTATTGTTTGTCTCCTCTAGAAAGTAGATGACTTGGGCACTAGACCCTGGCTTGACTTGACTGCTGTATCTTGAGCACTTAGAACAAGGCCTGGCACACGCAGGCACTCTGTCACCTGGCTGGCTGATTCCTGAGCCCCTTACTGGAGGACTCCTGTGGTGAGAGGAAGGACGTATGTGATACTGATTACAGGCAGTCCTTGAGATCCGACCATCCCTTATACACGCATGGCTACCGTGATGCCCGTTTTCTCTGACCACTGCTGTTTTCACTTCTTGACGGCACATATTCTCTTGTGACCGAGTGTAGTGTGTTCTTGGCATTCTCAGTGCCCAGCTGGAACTTGGGGCTTGTTTGTTCATCGAGAAACAGTGGAAAGCTACAGTAATTGTAGCTACTGTTCAGCTACATATGGTTCAAATAGGCTTTTAAGCCCTAAAAGGACATTTAACCACCATTTGTGGCATTCTGGCTTTGGAAAAATGTACTTCAGATTTCCAAATAACTAATTTGGAAATGCATTTTTAGAACCCAATAATTTGTAAGTTGGGTACCGCATGTAAACATCCTTGAGCTGTGAAGTAAATTGGAGTGTGTGGCATAGATTCCTGAGTTAAGGCTACACATTACAAAGTCTTGCTTTTTCAGGAAAACATTTCCATTGTCTCTAATCTTAAACCTGAGGGCTTCCTTTCTCTTACTTGCCCTCCGCATGCCACGTTCCTTTCCTTATCTTGGGGAGATGGGAATCCCATAGACTCAGCGCCTCCCTTGTTTCTTCTCAGAGCTGAGCTGTATGAGGCTGCCAATGGCCGTGCCTTCTGAATCAGCAGAATCCTCCTCAGAGAGGAACACCAGACTCGTCACCCATGCCTTTCTTATGCCCGTCTTATTACCTCATCCTAAGCTCTCTGCTGCTTACGGCTAGGAACCCCTTAAGCAAATTCCATTCAGCAAACCTTGAGAGCAACTGATGGTATTTTAGGGAGGGCAGAAAGACAGCTATTTCCTTGTATCTTACGAGTGTGTGGCTGGCCCATGGCACAGGAAAAAGGAGACTGAATCCATACTTTTAATTGCTTGGGAAAGCACACTGGAGGGTGTGTGGGAGAGAAGCCATTTCGGGGTCTGTTTTCTTGTAGAGGCTGAGAAAAAGCGGGAGGCCAAGCAACGAGCTAAGGAGGCTCAGGAACGGGAACTGCGAAAGCGGGAGAAGGCAGAAGAGAAGGAGCGCCGGAGAAAGGAGTACGATGCCCTCAAAGCGTCCAAGCGGGAGCAGGAGAAGAAACCTAAGAAGGAAACAAATCAGGCCCCGAGTAAGTTTTCCCTCCGTTGTAAGGTTCCGGCAGTGGGGAGACTCAGTGTTCAGGCATGGGTGAGAGAGCGCGCATGTGCGCCTCGGTCAGATACAGTAAACCCTAAGGCCTGGGAGGACCTCAGGGGGTTTGCTCCCAGGGAATGTAGGACTCTCCTTACTCGGGAGCGAGTGCCCAGCTGGCTTGTTTCCTCAGAGCTGCATGCTTATGTGCAGGTGCTGTGGTCAGATGTGGCTGAGAGCAGTCCCAGAACAAGAGCAAGTTGCACTTTTTGTAAGACTTAGATTCTAAAACCACCGAGAAAGGCGAAGGTTGCATATGGTCACAATGACTCCTAAAAGTCCCTCACATCATCAGCAATGTACACTGGCCAGGTTTTGAGTGCACGGTGCCGTCTCAGTAAAGCCAGCACTGCCTGTGGTTTTCTTTCCAATTTGGAACAGATCACGCTTTCTGCTTGAACACCAGGGGAATCATTTGGCATGCGTTCAGGGAGCCTTGTTGTATAAAAACACGTCAGTGTTCTGCCTGAGTGTGTCCGGTGAATCTGTGTAGTGATGTGGCTCCGTGTACATGGGATGATCGTATACTCTCTGGGCCAAAAACGAGCCCCTGGGGGAGAGGCACCTGAGGGAAGGTGCTCTGGAGGGAGGTGGGGGCCTGTGGCCCTGTCTGCTCACCTTCGCTGGCCTTGAGCAAGTCACCTCACCTCACCACCGTTTTTTTCCTCGTAAAATGAGGATCACACTTCCTTACAGGGTAGTGATAGGATTGAGGAAACCTACGTGACAGGATCATGCAGTCCTTGGCATGTGGGTGCTCAGTCAAGTTTTTAAAAATTTTGCCTAAAAATCTCAAAACCAGTATTTTTAATAAATGTAATATATGTGTTCATTGCAGAGAATTTAGAAGTTCTCTCTCTACACACACACACACAAAATGAGTCCCCTCTAATCTCCCATTCTCAGCAGTAATCACTGTTAACAACGTGGTGTATTACCTTCCAGGCTTTCTTTTTATATGTATCTTGAATAACGACAGTAACAGTATTCATAAATCTCAAACCTGTTTCCCCAAATGGGCAGCAGTCTATCCATGCTTGATGCCTCCTGATAAGCCTCACCCCCTGGTCCCAAAGAGCCTGGATCATTGTCATGTTACTGAGGAAAACTTAGGACCCTGGGGACTGTGCACCCTGTGAAACATCCAGAATGAGTTCCAGTTTTGACTGTCTTCCTTTGAGATCCAAGAAGGTGTTTATATTGCAGTCTCCGCATAGCAAAGTTTTTAAGAGTTCAGATAGTCTTAAAACAGTTTTCTCTCCAGGGCCGGGGGAGTTTTCATTAGAGGAGTGTAAGTAGGTCTAGCATCAGTTGGTAGAGTGTGGGTCTCCTCGAACTGACTGAACTTTGTCTACTGTGACTGTCCCTCCAGAATCTAAGTCTGGCTCTCGGTCCCGTAAGCCGCCACCACGGAAACACACCCGGTCCTGGGCTGTGCTGAAGCTGCTGCTGCTGCTGCTGTTGTGTGTGGCTGGCGGGCTGGTGGTCTGCCGGGTGACAGAGCTGCAGCAGCAGCCCCTCTGCACCAGCGTGAACACCATCTACGACAATGCGGTCCGGGGTCTGCGCAGCCACCACATCCTCCAGTGGGTCCTGCAAACCGATTCTCAGCAGTGAGCTTGTCCTCAACACCTGCTGCCTCCCCAGCCTTGGAGCTTGGATTCCTATGGAATTGGGTTCTGCTGGACACAACCTTTTTAGGGTCAGACTTACCTGCCATCATTAAATGGCTGCTGATTGGTACTTGAGACCTCCTGTTTGTAGGACTTCTTTGTTCCTTAGTCAGGGTTCCCTGGTGGAAAAAGAAGTAGGTGGGGAGAGGACAAAACCTGCATACCTAAAGGAATAGGCATGGGGGTGGGGAGAGAAACAAGCATAGCCTTTTCTAGTTGTTATATAAAGCTGTGTAAAGGCAAGGCTCATTTCTACTAAATGGTCAGCTGTTCACGACATTTATACTTTTGTATGTCACAAACCCTTTCTTTCATTCCTCCCTGGGTAGCCAGGGCAGATCAGGAGGCAGTGTGGTATTGGGGACTAGGGGAACACCGTACTCAGCAAATCTAGCCTAAATTGGGGGGGGGGGCATACCTATTTTCTTAAGGACCTCAGACATTCATTTTAATGACCATATAAAATCTCAGGCTCAGAAAGGGACTTCAAGACCATCCAGTCCAGTAGGACAGATGAGGAAATTAAGGCCTTCCATGACTTGCTTATGGTCGGTCTCCCACCTAGTTTGAGGCAGAGCTGGACTCCCACTCCGGTATCTTCTTTCCTTCCCATCATTTCACCTTCTTTGTCCTGAGAGAACAGAACTCACACCAGAATTGAGTATCTCTCAGTTGGACCGTGGAATCTTTCATGTAGACAGATTCATGACCTACAAACAGAAATCTCATAGCCATGAGGGTCTTGGGCAGCTCCTGCGGAGTCTTGCCCCAGCTTATGTGGCTTCCGTGAACCCCAGATGGCCCAGGCTCCTTGCCACGAATTTAGAGCATTAACTCCCCGACTGCTAATAAACAAGGCAGACTCTTGCAAGACCACACTGTGACAGCTGTGTTAGTTGGTGTGACTACCTCAAAGGCAGCCTAAAAACTCGTGTCAGAGAGTGAGGTTTAGAGTTGTTTGATTCTAGACCTAGGATTACACCCCACGCAGTGAAGGGAAGCAAGTAGCATCATGGCGTTTAAAAGTGGTGCAAGAACTGTAGTGACTAGGGCAAGTAAGGGCAGGCCTGCCATCTCAGATGTCTGCCAGAATAAGCATTTTCTTGCTCAAGTGGCCTCCTTTGCCTCATCTTTTCACAACAGCTGGATGAAGGAATTAGATATGGCCATGTCGTGGTGCTTAGTCACTGAAATCTCTTGATTGCAAGCTCCTTGCCTCTCCCCCAGGAGAGCAAGAACCTGTCATGGTTCAAAGAGGATGGGGTCCAACTTTTTAGCTATAGTGGCCCAACTGGATAGGATTGCCATGCGTGACTGTCCTGAGATTGGAAGAAATGACTTCTCCCCTAAGGATAGCTCAGCTGCATAGGCCCACACCTCACTCAGAATCACTACATATTCCTTTAGTCTTCCTCTAAGCTCCAGAGCCATTGGTACAAAAGCTTTATTGAAATTAACCACGTAGTATATAAAATGAGATTAGGAGAATACAGAAATCGGCATAGTAATCAGACCCCGTTCCCTGGCTGGTTGAGGCAGCCTCAGTGGGTCAGAGGAAAGCTGGAGCACACCCAGCCTAGTAAAGCCAACCCACCAAGGGCAGTTCACTCATGATCTAGAGATTTGATGCTGAGGTTCTTTTTGATTTCTACAATGATTAAATATGTGTCTGAGTGGTCTGTCTGTGCTCTTTTGTGTATTGAGGGCCGGCTGGGGCAGGGGTAGGGGTGGATCGTGCATGGCAGTTGATTTTGCCAGAACAACACTGAATGCTGGTGAAGATAAATGTAAGTATCTCAGCCAGCTGACTGGTAGGGAGACTTTCGCAGATGACACCCAGGAAAGAGTCTCTTTCTTGTGGGCCTGATCCAGGCTTGTACTCCAGGAGGCGCTTCCAATATCTTCCTTGTAGTCCTGTTCCGAGGTGGGAATCTCCAGGTTTTTTTCCTGCCCCCAAGGGCTATCATCAGTCTGCACTGTCTAAAGAGAGATCTGGCTGCAAAGTAGTCATCTGAAGGTAGATGCGCCTGGACAGCTCTGGTCCAACACGGCGGGAGGTGGATGTCACACCTTCCCCACGGCGCACCTGTATGTCTGCAAGCAAATTCTGGCATTCTTGCTCCGAAAAACACCGCCTATAAGCCTGAAAGTGGTAAACATTCTCTCAATACCATACCATGCAAGGTCATCACTCATCCACGAACAGGGAGGTGGTCAACTTGGGGTGGGGAATTAAAACCTGTCCTCCCACCCTGGGTCAGTGTTAACAACTAGGATCTCAGCAGATCTGCACTCTTGGGCTCTTGCCAATGCTGTCCATGAAAACCATCTGGGAGACCCACCAAGGCCACAGGGTGCTGGACAGTGGCCCCTGGAGCAGTATACCTGGACCAGGAGCTGCGGGGAGGGATAGGTGGCCACAACAGCACTGGCCATTTCTAGGCTGACTCGGTTCAGCTGCTGAATCTGTCTCCTCCAGACCTGAGCAAGTCCCCTACCAGCACGGTCCACCTTCACCCCTCCGGCCCAGTCACTCTCTAGGCAGAAGGAGAAACTAGTTTGATCTCGGAGCTTCCTGCAAATAGCACAGATGAAAAGCGGTGAGTCACTGGTTACTCTCCTGCACCTGTCCTCTTAACGGAACTTAAAAACCCTCCAGTGACCTCAGAAAAGGTGGGCACATGTTATAATCTGGCCTATTTGAGCGCTCACTTTGGTCCCAAGCAGTGCTAGTTGCTGATTCCCTTAAAAACGACATTAGTTCTTTTCACTAACAGAAAAATTCCAGAATGTGTTGTTTATGTTGAGATTGGGTTGTATTGACCAGAGAGGGAGTGCACAGGGTCAGACACCAGGGACTGGGTGTCAGGCAATGTGGAGTCTAATTCTGATTCTAACTTGGGAGAAGCTTGGATAAGTCAGTCTCTTCAGGCCTCAGTTCCCTCAGGTATGAAACGAGGGACTTAGACTGGAGTGTCTCTGAGGTCTCATTAATTTTAAATTCTGACTGAATACTCTTTGAGCTAAGTAAACTAGAGATTTTATTTTATGAGGACTTATCACATTGTGACCTGACTTGTAATGAATCCTAGTAATTTGGCCTACTGGTGATCCACCCTGTGGAACAAACACAGAAGCTAAAGCAGAATATTTTAAAGGGATTGGGCTTGAGGGCTCTTCCCAAGAATCAAGAATCCCCACTGTGAGCTCTGCTCCTGCTTCAAGCTTGAGAGACAAAGGACTGACAGCAGAGTTCAGGGGAAAGGGACATCTTTGGGAACAGAACCACTGTAAAGGACAAGACCCAGCAGTCGAGCTGGGACTCGCCAGAGCACTCACTTGAAGGGCGCCTCAGCCACAGCCTTGGTGAACGTGCACGCCAAGTCAGCCAGCTCTTTCCAGCTCTGCACAATTTGAGCCTGGGCGCGTGTGTGTAGCTGCAGATCCACCAATGCCTAAAACCCAAGGGCAGATGGACTGGAAGGGCGGAGAGCCTACTCGGAAGCTCTCCCCTCACTGTTCAGAGGCTGTACCCCAGCCCCTTGGCTCCTGTTTGTCCCCTTCTCGCTGCTCAGTACCAAGGCAGGCAGTTCTGGCCGGCAGGCATTTTACTCTTTTCTCAATAGCAAATTGGGTTAGATAAGAGTGGGTACCAAACCTGTTTCAGGCAACAGGATGTTCTTACCTCCTCCATGTCTACCCTGGACACCATGGGTCCTGCATTGGCCTCTGGTGTTCTCTGCTTCTTTTTCTCCTTGGCCTGTTCTCTGTTTGCCATACCCTGTTTCCTTCTCTTTGGAGTTTTTGGAGCACTGGAGCAGGGGAGGAAACCAAAGAAGGGCGGCAGCTCCAGGCTGAGCTGAGGCATGAGAGATGCAAGAAGACTGAACGAGAGCGTCCCACAGGGCTTGGCAGGGGCACTCGCAGAGGGACTCACCCCTATTAGCCCAAGCACTGCCCCTTTTGATGCTAAGTCTCAAGGACAAATCCAAACCTGAAGCATTTCTCTTGATTCATAATCACCAGTGACAGAGCCTTCCCTGCTGTTCTTGCTGTGATGTCAGTTACAAAGCTCCGAAGTGTTTCCTTCCCTTTCTCATTGCTGCCCAGACTTCCCTGCATGAAGGGGCAGAAACTGCGTTAATGCTTGCTCCCTAGAGTCAGCCCCCTGACCCAGGCCTCAGTGCCCACCCCTCCGGCTCTGCCCACCTGCTTGAAGTTGTAGATCATGGACACAAACGCCTCTGTCAGGAGCAGCACCAAGACCATCGGCTCCTCCACCCAGCCCTCCTCTCCATCCTGCCAAAGGACCCGGAACCCAGCAGAGGGAGGCAGGTCAGCAGGTGCTTAGCACCTGTGAGAGAGACCCAGGTCTTCTGGGTGAAGAAACACCCCCATCAGCCTAGCCCATTTTGCATTATTTTTTTTCCATCTGGAGTGAAGTCATGGTGGCAAGAAATAATAGCCCACGACCCTGTCCCTCCCTAGTCCTCAACTGTTCAGCCTTGGAGTATTGCATCTCAGGGGCGGTGAATAAGAAAGGAACATTAGTGAGTTTAAATGGGCTGAGAAAAGTATGAGATCTAAACAAGAGACGAAAAAATCTTAATGTTTCATTTATAAACTCTTGAAAATGTGGGGTGAAGTATTTTGGATCCGCAGATAAGAGGAGTGGAAGGTACAGAATCTGTAGTAACCTGGGGAGCCCAGGCCGGGAAGGAACATGCGCTGTGTGCTTACTATGTGCTCAGTGCTTGGTTATCTCATTTAGTCCCCAGAACAGGGGTGGGGGGGTGAACTGAAAGGGATATAATAGTGTCCTCATTTTATACACAAGGCACAAAGAAATGAAATAATTTCCCCAGGTTCATAGCAATAAAGCCATGAGGCTGAGATTCAAACAAGCCCACCTGTTCCCAAAGCCCAGTTAGAACTAGGACTCCTATGCGGATTCTCTTCCCGCTGACCCTCAGATCCACTCTCCACCCTGCTCTCTGCCCAAGGAGGGTGATCTCTACAGACCACATCACAATGTCTGCATGCCCTCTGGCTGGGTATGGCCAGTGGGGAACCCAGCAGGAGACTGGAGGGAAGGAGGGAGGGAAGGAGGGAGGGAGGGGGGGAGAGAGGAGAGTGAAGTCAGGGTATTTCTTTCCCTGGCACCCGCCCCTCCCCGTCCCCCAGTGGGGTCACCTAGTGTTTGCTACACTCTTCTATTGGAGGTAAAACTTCTCTCGGGGGGCAGGCCTATGTTTTTCTCTCCTTCTGGATTCTGGTAACCACTTCCTCCCCTTCAGGCCTAGGTACGGTAACAGCCATGCCAGTGGTTCTTAACCGGGGTGATTTTTTCCCCATGAGGAAGATTTGCAATATCTGGAGACATTTTTGACTGTCACGACTGGGAGGGTTGCTAAGAGTATTTAGCAGGTAGATGCCAGGGATGCTGCTGAGCTTTCTACAATGCACGGGGCAGCCCAGAGCAACGGAATTATCCCATCTGAAATGGCAACAGTACTTGAAATGGAGAAACCCCAAGTACTGTGTTGTCCCTTGATGTTTCCTTGTACCATGCCCATACCTGGGAAAACAGTCCCTTTATTAAATCCTCCTCAGATTATCCTAAGTTGAGTATACCATCTGCTTTCCTGCTGGGGCCCTGACTGATATATATTAGGGGGATGTGGGGGAGTAGAGACATAGCCAGAAAATCCCTACCTCAGTCGTCCCGGCCCTTCTCCTCCAGGTGATGCTGCACGGCATGGCCTGCGCCTCAATGACACAGCAGCACTCCATGGACTGCAGTGCTCCCAGGAGCTGGCCCCCACCTTCTGTCTGTAAGAGCACTGCAACAGATGGAAAAGGGGCAGTCACTGGGTGGCCCAGAAAACAGATAACTCAGCACAGAGTGAAGACAGATGCTAAGAGGACCTGGATCCAGCACCACAACGATGTGTTTTAAGCACTCCTCTGGCCTCTGGGCTTTCGGCCTGTTAACCAGTGCTGCTGCCTTCTTCCTTTCCTGTTGTCTTAGAGTGCCTTCCTTCTGGCTGGCTTGTCCCCGCGGCTGGCATCCCTGTGAGCCTCTCCTCTGGACCTTCTGATTATGCTTGGTTCTCTTCCGAGGCAGGGGGACCTCAGCATTTGTTTTGGTTGCGGTCAAGCTGTTGCTCTGGACAGGGCAGGTAGCTTGGTAGCCTGGAACCTGATGGCATTGATTGTCTACCACAGGGTCCTTGTTATTTGATGCACACGTCTCTGCGGTGTCATAGAGGGGAACATCAGGGATCTTTGGAAAGGATTGCTTTTTCCAGTCACATGATGCGCCTTCATTATTCTGATGATCCCAAACTCTTTTAACTGGGAAGCCAGAGTCCTCAGGGCTTAGCTGCTTGTGCCTCAAAAACTTACATGTAAGCCTCTCAGCCAGGGGAATAAGTTCCTCCTCATCCTCACTTCCACTGCTTAATGCCCTGACTGGCTGTATTTGTGTGACAGTTTCAGCTGTGTCTGGGACATGTGGTGGATCTTTCAACCTTGGAGATAGAGGGCAGGAGGCCTCAGAATCTGAAGTGTCAATCACTACAATCTTCTCCTCCCTCTTTGTTGAAGATGGTTCCTTCTTGAGAAAGGCAAATACTGGCAGCAACTCAGAATCACTCTCACTGGATTCCAGTGAGAGGGATGACTTCTTTACAGCCATCAATATTGTACTATCAAATTAATTCCCTAAAAGAGAAAGAAAGATGAGACACAGACTGTAGCATTCAATTCAGTCCACTAGATGTGTTCTGTGGCCAAGCTTTATGGAGATAAATATGGCACAGAGAAAAGAGAAACAGGACATGGCCCCAACACATTCAGTATGGAACTCAAAACGGCTATGCCTGTAGTCTAACAGGAACCCTCCTCAAATACTTTCTAGGTCAAGGTGAGCTGGAGCAAAGTGGAAATTACTAATACAAAATGTTAATAGGGTAATAGCAAGACTCACCCCCCCCCCACCCCCCGTTGATCTTTACTTTTGAAATGGAGATGATGAAAGTCATCCTTTTGGGAAAAAATAGAGATATTCACATACCATAAAATTTATCCTTTTAAAGAATATAGTTTAGTGGTTCTTTGTATATTCACAAGGTTGTGCAACCATCTATCTAATTCCAGAATATTTTCATCACCCCAAAAAGAAATCCCAAAGCCATTAAGTAGTCATCACTGTCCATTCCCCCCACCACCCACCACCCTTGGCAACCACAAATCTACTTCTGTCTTTATAAATTTGCCTGTTCCGGATGTTCCATATAAATGGAATCATACAATATGTATGATTTTTGTGACTGGCTTCTTTCACTCAGCATAATGTTTTCAAGGGCCATGTATGTTACAGCATCTTTCAATACTTCATTGTTTTTTATGGCTGAATAATATTCCACTGTATAGATATGCCGTTTTGTTTACCCTTTTATCACTTTACGGACATTTGATTTGTTTCCATTTTTTGACTAATATCAATAATGCTGCCATTGAACATTCACGTACAAGTTTTTGTGTGGACGTTTTCAATTCTCTTACATATATCCTAGGTGTGCAATTGCTGAATCGGGTGCAAGAGTCATTCTTTGAGCCAATATTTACTATCACTGTAGATGTGACCCAGGATGAGCCATGTAACCTTTCTAGGCCTCGCTTTCTTCTTTAGTAAAACAGATAATAACACCTACTTTATAAGGGTGTGAGAAATAAAAGATACGCATCTACAGCTCTTAGTACAGAATCCGGCACACAGAAAGAGCTCTGTAAAATACGCTGAATGACTAGGGAGGGATCTCATCTCTGTCCCCTCGTTGGGCGTCCATAGACGCATGCAAAGTGAGGGAGTGGGACAGGCACGTTCCTCAGTTCGTCTACACCCCGCGGCAAAAGCCCCGGACACCCAGGCCACGAAGCCCCAGCGGAGCGGTACTCAGGAGGGGAAGCCCTGTCCCACCCGCTGCGCCCACACCCGCACCCGGAGCACTCACTCACCTGCAACTTTCCCGCTACTCTTTGAACTGCCAAGCGTGACCCGGAAGTAGAACCCCCGGCAGCGGAAGCAGACGCAGAAGCTTTCTGAGACCGGAAGCGAATGTACCGCAAAAATGGCGTTGGGAGTGCTGGCGCTGAGGACACGGGCGGCTGGTAATGGGACGCTGTGGCGGTTGCGGGGCGAGGGGTGGAGGCGGAGTGGAGACGTTGCAGGGAGCCTGGGGGTGGGGTGGAGGCCAATTCCTGCGGAGGACCCTGGGTGCGGGTCGTGGGGGACAGTGTGTAGGGCCCACGAGGTTTGACGGATGGCTGTCGCCGATCACGTGACAAATCTAGGGCGCCGATCCCTGGATGGTTGGTTGAGGATCACGTGTCCTTCCTGCCTAGCTTGCAAGGACAACTTCCCTAGCGGTTGATGAAGTAGGCTCCCCCTGTTTGGGTTTGTTTGGATGATACTTTCATCTATAAGAATGGGTTACTAACATTGGCACACTGGAGCTCCAAAGTTAGTCTGTTCTTTCAACAGACTGAAATTTTACTTTGTGCCAGACACGTTGGGTATCTCAGCAGAGAAGACAATTTCTAGCCCCTGAACGGCTCTTTCTAGCGGATAAGCCAATAAGTGAGCACATAAAATGGTTGTACATTGTGACAAGTGCTGTGAAAGTGAGCAAGCATGTGTGTGTGTGTGTGTGTGTGTCTGTCTGTCTGTCTGTCTGTCTGTCTGTGTGTCTTCTGTCTTTTTTTTAGGTTGGATGGTCAGGGAAGCCTTCGGTGGAGGTGGGGCGGGGTGGGGTGGAGGTGGGTAACATCTAAGTTAAAACCTGAAGGATAACAGGAAGCTTAGCTCTCTAAGAGTGAGGGGCAAGAGAGTGCCTTGACTCAATTTTAAATTTTGAGAAGCAAACTGTTGCTCTTATATGAATTTAAAGGGGGGGTGGGGGTGGGAGTGGAAACGAAACCAGATGGGAGGCTGGAATAGCAGCCCTCATGAGAGATGATATAGCCAAGATGTTAGTAGTGTTAGTGAACTTGGAGGCAAATGCATGGATTCGAGATCTGTTTTGGAAATAGAATCCACAGAGCTTGCTGGTGAACTGGGTATATGAAGTGAGCAAAGGGAAGGGATCTGCAGTGGCTTCTGGATTTCTCCCTGAGCAACTGCATGTGTGGTAGCATCACTTCCTTTGAGGAGAAGGCTGGGGAGTAAGGTAAAGGGCAGAGATCTGTGAAGGAGGTAATGTAGGTAAGGCAAAAGCCTGGTTCCTGAGCTTAATAAAGGTGAGTGAATGGCTGAATGACTAGGTGTTTAAATGTTGCTAGACCCTTGTGCTGGGCATTTAACACATTGTTCCTCTAAGTCCTTGTCCCTGGCCCTTTACCCTAGCTAGTCTTTGTTATTAAGACGTCAGAAACCTAGGTTCCAAGACTCTGAACTTATAGTCTCCAGTGACCCACAAGGCTTCTCTAAAGACCCTGGCAGTGCCCTGATTAACCATGGCTGTGTCTGGAGACCTGAAGGCAAGGACTGCCATCCCTGGGCTTGTCATATAGCAAAGGGCTTCCATCTCGGTTAGTATGAATGTTAGGTCACTTTCCTTTCTAAAATAAATGCCATTGAGCATTTTGGAATGAGTGTAAAGAGGTCAGATTAACGAGGACAGGGTGTCAGTCTTCTTGGTTGGACCTGTGCTTGGTGGGCTTGCTAAAGAAAGGGGCCAGCCTTCTGAAATGGCCAGGAGCCTGTGGGAGTCATCCTCAGAGAAGCTGCACTTTTGTTTACAAGTATCTGGTATGCGGTGGATGGGTGGATGGCTGAAAAAGTGGTGGATGAGGCTAAAGCAGGAGCCTCTCTCTGGGTGTCCTGTTGCTGGGTTCTGCGGTCTGGCCCCTCCACAGCGCAAGGAGCCTTGAGGGCATGCTTGATGGTGAGTGAGGTTGGCACTGGCAGCTCTGTGATGTCCTCTTGCTGGCTTCTGTTTCTGTGAGGCTTGTTTCTCCTCAACAGGGCCGAATGTGTCAGGATCCAGGGCACATGGTGTTCTTTTTTATTTTCCATTAATATTTCGCTGCCCCACTCCCCATCCCCTGGCCACACAGACATCTCATGCAGTGCTAACACCCTGGACAATATACAAGGAATGACTTGTCCCCTGCCATGGGAGAAGGCCAAGGACTTCCAGGCACTCCCTGAAAACAAACACAGTCAAGTAGCATTTCTGCTCACATATCTTCCTCACCTCCCCTGCCACCTCACAGCTTAGCAAATGGCCCATTGAGGTCTGATTGGAAGGCTCTATCTCTGGACAACATTTCTCTTCTCTCTGCAGTAACGGCCCTGCTGAGCCCCCCTCAGGCTGCAGCTCTTGCTGTCAGATATGCATCCAAGAAGACAGGTGGCAGCTCCAAAAACCTTGGTGGAAAGTCACCAGGCAAACGCTTTGGCCTCAAGAAAATGGAGGGTACGGATGTGCCTTGGCTTTCACTTCCTAACTGTACCCTATCCTCTGCCCTTTGCATTTCTTTGAAGAGCAGGAAAACCATTGAAGTGCCTGGTCTTGTGCTCTGTGCTTAGCTCACGAGCATTTATTAATAGCTCCAGAGTAAAGAGGCAGATAAGACCTGAGGTGAGGTGGGGAGCCTGAGCTGGGGTGGGGGACCTGAGGAAGAGCAAATAGTGTGAACCTTGAACATGCAACTGGAGAGAGAAGGCTTCTGAGTGGGGTACAGCAGACTACTTGCGCCATACCATCTGGGAGTTGATTTTATCCAGGGGCAGGCTTAGAGGTTGGTTGCAGCATTTGGGCTAGGACAGCGAGGGCCATCACATTTTCTTAGCAGCCTCCATGACTGGGTCCTGGGGTCAGCGCACTTGTGAACTTCTCTTCTAGGTCACTACGTTCATGCTGGCAACATCCTTGCGACTCAGCGCCACTTCCGCTGGCACCCAGGTGCCCATGTGAGTTCTGTGCCCCCTCACATTTCTTTTCTAGGACCACCTCTCCATGCTTCTAAGCACAGTAATACTATTAAAACAGTTGCATTTATTGGGTGCTTACCAAATGCCAAGCAGTAGTAGCCTGGCTCTCTTGAGCCTCCTAGCCCCCAGTTTTGGGAGGAAAAGATGCCAAGTGATTTAAGATAGCTTTTGAATCTTGGGAAACTAATTTCAATATACTCATTTTTCTTTATTTCTAAGAATTTCTCCTTTACATAAAGTTGTTCTTAGATGGCTGAGAAGTAGCTTGAATTTAATACAATAGAATTAAGTATGTACATCAGAAAGTCGTTCCATACCAGGCAGGAATTTCAATTCAAGTTGGAATTGCTTTCTGAGGTAGGAAAGTTAACTCTGTTAACTCATGTCTATCCTGTACTCTTCACATCATTTTAAGTATTAGCTTCGTTTCCTTTGTATTCGATCCCCCAACACCCCACCCCTTTTTGGGCAATTTTAGTAGGAACAGAAAGACTGATAGTAACCTATAGTTATTGCAGAAATGCCAATCTTTATGTGAATTGATTGAGTTTATAGTTGCTTCATCTTTTAGAACTTGAGACATTGGGTATGTGGCTGTGTTAACTCTTGGGACTTGCTAAAATAATAATGACAACAATAATACAAGCTAACATGTTTTGAGCTAGGCAGTATTTTTGGTATTCTAAGCTCTTTATGATTGTTGACTCATTTAATCCTTGAGGTGACCCTCCCTATAAAATAGTTCATATTATCCCCATTTTGCAGATGAAAAAAACAGACAGTGAAGTAACTTGTCCAGATCACACAATAGTAAGGAGTAATGCTGGGTTTTGAACCCGGCACCCTGGCTCCAGAGTCCATTCTTTTAATCAGGGAAATGTTGACTAATGCTGGACTGCCTGGGTAAAAATCGCCACACATTCAATCTCAAGTTTTAAAAGAAAAAAAGCTAAAATATATACAGTTAAAAAAACCGTACGTACAACACACTGTTTATTTAATCTCCTTGCTCACCTTTCTCGTCTGAAAAACAAGGTTAGAAATAGTACCTACTAAACAAGATGAGAATTAAATGAGTTGGTGAATATAAAAGGGCTTTATTGTTATACAATAGTATTATAAAAGGGCTTGGTAAGCACTGTATAAGTATTACCTAATATCCTTGTTGTTGTTTTATTAGCATACACATCGTCCGTATAGCTTTGGTCTGTACTTTCCTTAGAGCCTAAACTTGATAGGTCACTATATAAATGAAAATGTATGTCAAACTAGTGTTTCATATGACAACCCCAGTCAGTGTTTTTGAAATCTAAATGAAGCAAGCTTCCAGGGCAGTGAGTAGGGGCATTTTCCTAGGCCTGGTTTGGGGAACTGCCCGGTGTGGCTTCTGGCCAGCTACACAGACATAGTTCCAGGTGACAGCCCTTGGGGACTGAGCAACCAACTGGATTGGTTGTTGCTTTCTTTTCCTCCTCTGTCATGGAGTCAGTAAAGTAGAGGGCAAGACAGCATCGAGCATGAGAAAGGGAATCCAAGATGGGGCCCTCTGAGTCCTCCCCTCTGGTCCCAGGGCCTGACTCCTTGTGAGAAGTCTGTCCTGCAGCCACAGGATGGACTACTTGGGCTTTCCCTGCAGCTGAGCAGGTCTGTGTGTTGCAGGTGGGGCTGGGGAAGAAGAAGTATCTGTATGCCCTGGAGGACGGGGTCGTCCGCTTCACTAAAGAGGTCTACGTGCCCAACCCTAGCAACTCGGAGGCTGTGGATCTGGTCACCAGGCTGCCCAAGGGTGCTGTGCTCTACAAGACTTTTGTCCACGTGGTTCCTGCCAAGCCTGAGGGCACCTTCAAGCTGGTAGCTATGCTTTGAGCTCCTGGTTGAGGCCACTGGACAGAGACTGGAGTCCTGGCATTAGGAGCAGGTGGTACCAGAAGTAGGATTGGGGTGATGACAAGGCCTCCTGAGGAAGAAGTCTGCCTGATGGTGACTGCAGGAGACTCTTTGAAATGACTGGCTGGGAAACCCTTTGGGAGATTGACCTGGGGCCAGAAATAAAGCTAGCCGGAGTCACGAGTCTGTGTTGTTTGGGGACAAACCTGAACGGAGCTGCTTACTGATTTGTTGGTCTTTTCTGCATGTTCTCTAGTGCACACCAAGAGGGAACCTTCATGCAGGAAAGAGGCCTGTCAGAGTGAGGAAATGACAAGAGGGGACTTTGAGGAGGGGACTGCTTTAGCACCATCCCCCAGAGGGGAAGGAAGGGAAGAGCTTGTGTTTGAGGGTGTCACTGCTATTTCCCCTCCTGGATCCTATAGAAGTTGGGCTGGGCCCTGGGAGGAGTAGGTGGCAAGGGCCAACAGAGGAAGCAGTGGGTCATATTCCTTTTCTGGAGCCGTATTTGGAGGGAGCCGGGGCAGCAGCCCCAGAAATGGCCATGTGGCAGACACTGCTACAGGGGCGGCTGGTAGCTGCTGGGCAGCCCCACACAGAATACCTCACCCTGCCTCCTCACCCCCCCCCCGCAACCCCACAGGTAGCCCTGTAACCAGGAAAACCCAAGGGAGCCAGGCTGTCTCACACAGCCTTCTCCAATTTTCCCAGGATGAGCCTAAGGTTGGGGTGCTACATGGCCCTCCTCTCCAAGAAGTCTCTCGGCTTCACCCCATCCTTCCCCTTGCCGCACTAGGCCCCTGGCTTGGATTTTGGCCCTCGGCACACATGTCTCCTCCCACTCCCAGGTGGCAACCTCGGGTCCTTATTCACTTGCATCCCCCAGGATTCTCAGCACCTTTTCACTACCTGGACCTCAGTGGGGCGTCCCATGGTGCTGAAATAGAGAGAGGTGCAGTCCTGGGAATCGTAAAGGATGACTCAAAGTGAAGCTCAGGATTTAGGGTCAGCGAGCAGGAGAGCAGACCCCCAACTTCTATCGTCATGCCCTCTCTCCGTCCCTTTAGTTCTCTCCACTGAGTCCAAGGCTCAAAGCTCAGATCCTCAGCATCTGAAATGCACTCAGGTGTAAAGAGATTCCACTCCTTTCTGGCCCTCATTCTCTCACAATCTGGCAGCTCTGATGATGTTTGGAGGGAGAGTCAGAGAAAACCTCCTGGCCCCACTCCATCCCCTTGTCTGGTGCCCAGAGTTGGGAGGTCAGAGCCTGAGGAGGCTGCAGGTCAGAAGGTTTATTTTGCTTTCTGTACTCAGAATGCCATATGGTGCCCCGTCCCTGTGGAGAGGACAGTACTGGAGTCGCCACCTCCCCTCTCCCACAGAAGCCAGGGCACTGGGCACTTTCTCCCCTGGGAGCTGGGGGGAGAGGGTGGGCCTCCAGTTCCTTGGAGAGCTAGGAAGACCATTGTCTCCACCAGCACTGGGTCCTGTTTAACAATGGCCAGTAAGGAGGCTTTCTACACTACTGCCCTGGCCCTGTAGGGAACCCAGGCTGGAAGATGCAGTCCAGAGAGTAGATTGCAAAGGCCCCTCACCTGAACGGAACGCAGGTGACCTTTCGTAGGGATTGGGGTAGGGGGGCGTGAAGGGAAGGGGTTGCGGGAGAAGAGGACTTGGCAGCATTGGGGCTCACACTGGTACAGCAGCAGCAGCAGTAGGATGAGCACCAGGGAGGAAATTACCCTCCCCCTGCCAGAGGCAGAAGCAGGGCTTCAGCCTGGATCTGGCCTACACAGACCCAGACTGGGATTCTGCTCCAGAAATTGGGTAGGAATGACCTGGCTGTCTCTAGTATCAGCTTGACACGCAAGGGAAACAGGTGCAGGCGGTTCTCTTTTGGCTGCTGCATAAACCCCCTGAGGTAGAGATTTGTGAGGGAGAGCAAAGCTTTACCCTGCCTCTTCCTTCAGCCCAGGGAAGGAGTGATATGTGCAAGAGAGGTTACAGAGGGACCGACAGGGGAAGGGCCTTGTGACAGGGGCAGACACCCTTAGAAACTGGAGCTGAGGAGGCCAGGGAGAGCTCAAGATCCTGAACTCGGATTCCTGCTGCCAGCCTCTTCCACTGTCTTATTAGACTATGCCATCACAGACTCGGTGCCAACAGACCAGGGGTCTCAGTGATCACAAACCAACCACACACACTGTTCCTCCCAAGCGACTGGCTCCAGGTGACCCTCAGGATGAAGAGGCTGGGCTTCTGGCCTCTGGTGAGGGCCCAAGGGGCTATCTGCCCCAACCGTAGGACTCGGGACAGCAGTAGGTACTCACCAGCGGCTGCCACTACAGCTAGGAGGCTGCTGTCCATGGTGACCTCTGCACATGGAGCAGCAGTCAGTGGCAGGGGTGCCAAGAAAGGGCATCAGCCTTGAACGACTTTGAGGACAACCAGCAGGGTCACAGAACTGGTTCTCCTCCCCACACCCCCAACCCCCTACCCAGGGCCACCTCCCAATCCAGGAACCCTGGCCCAAAGGAGCAACTTTATTCAAAGCCAGGGTATCTGTGAGCAGCTGTCCAGCTTCTCGGCTTCTGCCCATACTTGTCCTTGACCTTGTGGCCCGTAGATGGCATTCCCCTCTGCAGGTCTGGCAGCCATGAGGGTGCCTCTGGAACCTTGAGGAGAAGGGGTTGGCGGGAGCAGTTTTGGCTCCTAAACCCAACAGCCAGCCAGGGGAGGAGCTCCAACTCATCCAGGTCTCTTCCCTTCTCAGTCACAGGCCCGCTCCAGCCTGACTCTGCCCCCTCCACTTCCCATTGGCCCAGGTAATTGGGTTCTGGGTGCCAATTGGCTGTCTTCTGGCCTTGGCTGCCACCTCTCATGGAACCTGATGTCCATGGTTGCCTTGGAAACCGGACACGTGGGCCACAAAATACAAAAGCCTCCCTTGCCCTAGCTGTCCCTCGCCTTCCAAAGGAATTATTGTGCAGCTCCGGGGCCCAGCCTGCCCCAACCAGCTCCCCACCCCCATCCCGTGTCCAGCTTGGCCAGAATCCTGATCTTGACCCCAGAGGCCCAGCCAGGGGAGAATTTCAAAGAAGCCTGAAAAAACCCAAGATGCTAGGCTGAGTACACCCTACAGAAAGATGGGGGTGGAGAACACAGTTGGCAAGGAAGCTGCACTCAACAATTGCCTCACTGACCTAGACAGAGGAGAGGACAGGAGTGGAGGGCCTCGACCGCTAAGCCTGCCCTCTGAACCCATCAGGAGTCATGGAGCCTGATCCCTGGTCTGCAGTGCTTCTAACTCATGGGGCCAAGACGTACAGCCAGAGCAGTAGGTGTGGGGCTGGGCTTGTAGTTCTCAAGGGCCTGCAAATTAGAAATTGCCTGAGGGAGCTTTGAACCCAGACCATTGCTGGATTTTCACCTCAGACCAATTAACTCAGAACCCTCAGTCAGGATTATGATCCTGTGGGCTAAAAGTACAAATGCAAAGTGTTCTCAGCAGGTGACAATCAGACCTGGTGTGACAGGGTGGGAAAGGCAGGGGCTGAACCAGAGAGTGCATGTCCCACCCAAGTTCAAAAACTAAGATTGAAAACTGATAGCCTAATGACAACATAGCCACAGACCACGTTAAACCTGAAGGCTGCTCAGTTCTTAGCCAGCAGTCTAAATGTTCTGATATTTACTGCCTGGGTCTAATATGCTGGACCTAGTCATTAGTTTTTCTTTTTATTTACCTAAGAGTTGACGTAAAAAAAAAATAAATAAATTCCGGAGAACCAGAGTAGAGCGTCCGATGTTCACTAAAATAGGAGCCCGAAAAAGTCATCTTAGCCCCTGAACCCAAACACTGTTTTCTTGGAGTTCTTGTTGTTAGCTCTTCCCTGGGTCCCTGACCTTAGGAAAGCAGAATGTAGTGACAGGGACTTGGAGGCCTGCTCCCACCACCTAATAGCTATGACACTGGGATCATCATTTCAGTTTCCTGATGTGCTGAATGAAGATAAGTGTCTGCCTCAAAGGGTTGTGAGGATTAAATGAGATGCTGCATGCAGGGTCAGCTCAGCAGCTAAACAGAAAACCCCAATGCTGTTCTTGGTGTCAAGGGTGCCCTCTCCTGGCAACTGGGAAAACTTGACATGTGGCAGCCTGGACGGGAACTGAGCCCTTGGTTCTGCAAGCTGAGCTGACCAGGCCAGTGTAACTGGCTGATAAAGGTCTGAGAACCCTTTGCCCTTGCTCCCATGTGTTGTAAGGTGTGAAGGACTGATACTGAGCCCTAGCTGACAAAGGCAGGAGAGTCAGAGGGGAAAGGGAGTGGCCAGGGAGCCAAGCTGCTGTTGCTCCTGCCCCTGCAAAGGACAAGCTGCAAAGGTAACCGCAGGTTGTGGCTGGGATTGCCTCCATTCTTGAGGGTGCTCCACAACTCAGAGCTGGGTGGGAAGCAGAGTGAGGAGGGCTTCCGGGTGGGCCCCGGGGACCCCAGAGGCAGAGCAGCTAACATCTACCTTAGCCTGGCAGCAGGGGCGGAAGTGCTGGGTCAGGACTCAAGAACTGAACTGGCTCTCCCACTGGCTAGCTGGGTAGCAACGAGGAAGTCTCTGGGCCTCTCTACCCCTTAGGAAAAGACAGAGCCGGATTAGATAGGTTCTACCATCCTTTCTGGTTCTTGGATGGATTCTAAACTGATGCCATTCTTTGGAACGAGACCTCTACCGTGTGGCTGCCAAAGTACCAGCCAAGACTTTTAGGAGAAGGCCCAACAGTGATGGTTCCCAACACCCAGGAGGAAAAACACAGAGGCTGAGCTTAGAGAGATAGATACATTTCTTCTGTTGCATATTTCAGACTTCACACTGAGCTTCAGGCACAATGCTGCTCCAGGTGCTTCTGAGAGCCCTGACAGAATCTTCTTCCCACACTGCTCACAAGGGCCTGCTCCTCCAGGGCGGGAGCCCAGCCCCTGCTGCAGCTCTGGGTCCCTGGGAGACTCTGCGTTGTCTCAGCAGGCCCTGGTGCCCTGCCTTCCCCATCGAGGTGCAGGGTATGCTGGAAAGCCCCAGAGCCAGCCCCATCCCCTCTTCTTCGGTCCCCTGGCTACAAGAGGAGAGGCTGTCCCACTAGAATCCAGCTCTGCAGTGCTCCCCCAAATCACCTGTTCTCGGCCTCAGAGC